ATCCCTGCAGGTGCTGGGTTGTCCCTCTGCCCGGTGTCCTTGTCCCAGGTGTCCCTGTCCCGGTGACTGTCCCCGCTGTCCCTGTGGATTGGTGTCCCTGTTCCTGGTGTCCCTGTGCCACTCTCCCTGTCCTGGTGTTCCTGTCCCAGTGTTCCTGTCACACTGTCCCTGTCAGTGCCCCCATCCCGCGGTCCCGTTGTAAAGGGAGCAGCCAAGGGGAAGGGCAGTGCAGATCTGGGACCCTGACAGCCAGGTGAGGGGACAGAGGACATTCCCTGCCCTCTCCGTCCCGCGGGCCGTGGGGGCTCTGTCTCCCTGGGGAATGAATTGTCCTTGTGACCCAGAGCCCTGCCCGGTGTCCCCGTGTCCCCAGGGCACGGGGTGAAGGGTCCTGCCCGGTGCCAGTGTCAGCAGGAGGAAGCTGAACACGAGCCCCGGCTATTTTTGGGTGTCTGGGATGTCACGCAGGGGCCAGGGGCAGGAGAAAGTGTCCGAAGTCCAAAGTGTCCGAAGTGTTCCAAGTGTTCCAAGTGTTCCCGCTCCCTCGGGCCCGGTGCCTTTGACCCGCGGGTCCCCAGGACGAGGGGACACCTGAGCCCGCAGCCGGGTCCCTCCACGCCCCGGGGATGGGGACAGGAGTGGCCACCGTCCCCCGGGGACAGCGAGTGCCACGGCCAGGGCTGGCCCCAGCCACGCCGGGGATGCGCTGGTCCCACTGGAGCCCAAAGCACGGCGAGAGGAGAGTCCCTGTCCCTGTCCCCAGCGTCCCCCCGGCACTCAGAGCATCGCTGGTGGCACACGCGTGTGTCCCCACGGGCACAGGGTGGGGACAGGGCCACGCGTGCCCACGCACCCAGCACACCCAGCTGGGACCGCGTCACGCGTGGAACTGAGGCGGTGTCACTCATGTCCCCACAATCTCCTGGAGTCCCCAAACGTATCCCCCCACCCCCACTCCGTGCTCCCTGCTCCCCGTGCCTCAGTTTCCCCAGCTCAGCTGTCCCGTCCCCGCCGCTCAGTGTCCCTGAAGGACATCGCGGCTGTCGCCGTCCCCGTGCCCTGAGCGTGCCAAGGGGTGGCACCCGCCCCTCCCCAGGCACCCCGGGACCACCGGGGCCGGGCACACCCCGCTCCCCGCAGAGCCCGGGCACAGCCGGCACACGAGTGCCCCTCTCCGCCGTGCCCGTCGCTGCCGCAGCCCCGGGGGCTCTGCCCGGGGGGCGGTGGCCGGCCCGGGGTGGCCGCTGGCAGCGCTGCCGGGGAGTATTTCTGGAGCGCGTAGTGTTCTTTCCAATCATGTGATGAGGACATTATTTAAGGCGGCTGCGGGGCCGGAGCAGCTGCAGGCGGTGCCACGCTCGCAGCCGGACCCCGAGCGCCTGCGGCCCCCCCGAGCCCCCCAGCCATGGTGGACGCCTTCGTGGGCACCTGGAAGCTGGTGGACACCAACAATTTCGATGAGTACATGAAGGCGCTGGGTGAGTGGGAGCGGCTGAGAGCGGGCTTGGAGAAACATCATCTCTTTTTTATTATCTTTTTTTTTTTTTTCCCCCGATTTGCCTGGGGGTCTGGCTGGGGGGGCTTCAGGCGGTGGGGGGGAGGGGGTCGCTGCTGCCTCCGTGGGTGGTTTAGGGGGGCTCTGGGGTTTTGTGCACGTGGGGCTCTCAGGATGGAGGAGGGGGTCTCGTCCTTCCCGTGCCCCCCCCTCTTTGGCAGAGGCTGGAGGGATGAGATGCCCCCCCGGGACCCTCCAAGCCTTCCCGAGCCCTCCCATCAGCCGGCCCCAGCACGGTCGGGGGAGCCCCCACCCCAGGGCAGTGCGGGGAGGGGGGCACAGACACCGATCCCCCCTCACCCGGCTCAGGGGCTGCTGGATCCATCCGGCATTCCCTGCCCATCCATCCCTCATTCCCTGCCCCCCTGCTCCGCTCCCGGCCCGCACGGAGCTCCCCAGGAGCAGGAGCGGGGAGCAGTTTTGGGACCAGCGAGGGGAGGAAGAGCTCGGGGGTGACGGCGGGGCTGTGTGGCCGCACCGTGCCCCTGCACACCCCTCACCCCTCGGCCCCCAGGCGTGGGCTTTGCCACGCGGCAGGTGGCCGGCTTCACCAAGCCCACCACCATCATCGAGCTGGACGGCGACAAGGTCACCGTGAAGACCCAGAGCACCTTCAAGAACACCGAGATCACCTTCAAGCTGGGCGAGGAGTTCGACGAGACCACGGCGGACGACAGGCACGTCAAGGTGAGCCCCCCGAGCCCGTGGCACCCCCGGGAAGCTCTGTGGGCTCCGGGGGTGGCTCCGGCAGCTCCATCCTGGCTGTCTGCGGGAGGGGAACACCTCCCTCCCCGCCGGGGCTGCTGCCCAAGCCCGGTCCCGTCCAGGCAGCCCCACCAGAGTCTGTTTTGAGGCTGGGCCCCCCGAGCAGGACGGAGCTGCCGGGAAGGTTGTGCAACAGCCGGTCTGGCGAGTGGCAGCTCGTTCAGAGGAGCCGCGGTGGGGTGCTGGGAGATGTCCGGGGGAAGAGGGGCAGCACAGCTCCTGTTCTGCCCTCCCAAGCAGGCAGCGCCGCAGGAATGGAGCACCGGGACAATCCCGGCTGCTCGGTGCCTCTCCAAGGGCTCATCCCAGGAGCGCGGGTCCCTGGGGAGCTCAAAACTTCCCAGGCCAGGCTGCTCCTGCCTGTAACAGCGAGGAAAAAATCACCTGAGAGAGCAGCGACGTTCCTGGCCTCTCCCACGCTGCAGGGACATTTTTCCTTGAAGTCCCTTGGAGGAGTGGCCCAGCTGCTGATTTTTCCTAGATTTCAGCCGCCGCTGCCGTGCCCCACTGACCGCTCTGTGCCCCACAGCCAGCCCGGGGGGCACCGCGGGAGGCACCGGGGGGCTCCTGGGGCACGAACCCCTTCGGTGGCCCCAGAGCAGGAAGCACAAAGGGCCGGGCTGGGAGGGAGGCTGGGGGAAGGGGCTGAGCGTGAGGTCCCTCCCGCCGCAGCTCCTGGAAGCTGTTCAAGCAGCAGGAACGTGTGACCGCCACGTCCCGGGACGTGCCCTTGGGTGCCCCTCGGCCGGGGGCCAGGGGACACATGATGGGTCAGCGGGGCCGGGACGGCTGCCCGAGGCACGGGGCTGGACAGGATGGGGCAGGTGGGGTCAGCCATGGGGTGTGGGCAGTTGGGGGGCACCCAGGATAGCGTGGAATGGGTTGGGAGGAACCTTAAATCCCATCCAGGGCCACCCCAGCCATGGCAGGGACACCCCCACTGTCCCAGGGTCACCTCCCACTGTCCCAGGGTCACCTCCCACCGTCCCAGGGTCACCCCCACTGTCCCAGGGTCACCCCCACTGTCCCAGGCTGCTCCAAGCCCCAATGTCCAGCCTGGCCTTGGGCACTGCCAGGGATCCAGGGACAGCCACAGCTGCTCTGGGAATCTGTGCCAGGGCCTGCCCACCCTGCCAGGGAGGGATTTCTCCCCAATATTCCATCCCTGCCCTCTGGTGTGGCTTCCAGGGCTGTGGGGCACCCAAACCCTGCTGGTACCCAGAGTTTAGGAGAGCTGAGCAGTGAGGGGACCCGGCTGTGGGGAGAATTGGGATCTGGGGGAGCAGCCAGAGCCTTGTAGGGTCCTGGGGCTGGGGCACAGCTGAGCTCTGGGCAGACCCGAGCCAAGGGCCGGCTCTGGAGGGGCTGGGCGGGGGGCACAGGGCAGGATGGGGCCGTGCCAGTCGCAGCAACCTTGGCACGGGCCGGGCTCTCGGGGCTGAGTCAGCAGCGGCGCTGTGCAAACAGCGAGCACAGAGCCGTGTTTGCCGCATCAGCCGCTCCAAAAGCCTCGCCGGGCCCTGCAGGGCAGGGAAGCTCCGGATCCCAGCCCCGATCGCGGCCTCGCCTCTCCGGTCCCCGCCGGAGCCGGGAGCTGCGCCGGCCCCGGAGCAGGACACGGCCCCGGGCAGCGCTGCCTGTGCCGGCCCCGGGACACGGAGGGCAGGGTGACTGTGCCGGTGGCACTCTGGGGACACTCTGGGGACACTCTGGGGACACAGCCGAGGCCGTGACCCAGAGCAGGATCCGGGCTGGGCTGAGCGCGGCTGACCGAGGCTCGGGGAAGGTGCCAGGTCCATCCCCACAGCGGCACCCCCGGGCTGATCCCGAGCCCTGCGGGGCTCCAGCCTCCCCTCCGAGGGATGAACTGCCCCCAGAACCCCGGGGAGGAAGGTAACCGCGGCTCTCAATCGCTCCCCGCAGTCCGTGGTCACGCTGGATGGAGGGAAGCTCGTCCACGTGCAGAAGTGGGAGGGGAAGGAGACATCGCTGGTCCGGGAGCTGAAGGACGGGAAATTAATTCTGGTAAGGAAATGGTTTTATTCTGAGATTCGCACCTCGGAAATTGCTCCAAGGGGGAAGAGCTCGGCTCTTGGCGAGGCAGCACTAACCCCCGGCACCCCTCTGCCCCCAGACTCTCACCATGGGCAACGTGGTCTCCACCCGCACCTACGAGAAGGCGACATAGGCGCTGTCCCAGGTCCCCTGGCTGTCACCCGGTGTCACATCGTCCCCGCCTGGCCCCGTGCCTGGCCCCGTGGGCTCGGAGCCGCTGCCCCGCCGGGGCCGCCCCTGCCCCAGCCCTGCCTGGCTCCAGGGGCTCGGGTGGTGGTTTCGTGCTTTGTTGGTGGGTTCTTTTTTAACTGATTGTGGGAAAAGTCACATGGAAAAAAACAATAAAGGTGTTGTTACAGCTCTGGGCTCGGCTTACTGGGGAAAAGGTGTTTTTGGCAGGTGGGCACCCACAGGGATGGCAGGGAAGGGGTTAATGGGCGGTGATCCCAGTGGCCCGTCTCGGTGTCCTCTCCAAGCTGCGGGATCAGCTCTGGCTGGCAATGTTCAGGATCCGGGAATGCCTCAGGCAGAGCCCACCTGGAACCGGGGCCCCGAGCTCCGCTGTCCGGATCTGGGAGGGGAAACGGCCCCAACGGGAGCCGCAGCCGTGGGGAGCTGGCCCGGGGGGCAGAGGGAAGGGAAAGGGATAAAGGGTGGCTCCATCAGCGGTCCCAAATCCCGCAAAGCCAGCAGCTCCAATCCCATTCCCTGCAGAGCCCACAGCACAGGCTCCTGCCCCGCTCACATCTGGCCCAGCAGCGCCCGGCTGCTCCTGGCACGCTCCCCCTGCCATCCCTTCCCCTGACCTTCAGCTCCACTTACAGGATCTGTGCTCCTTCCAGAAGGCTTCTCCTACGGGCTACCTCAGCACACACCCCCTTCCCACCCACAGGGAACCTCGGGAAGGAGCCAGAACTTCCCAAAAAAACCCCTTCCCATCTCCCCCCCGCAGCCCAAGATGAAGTGTAGAGGATCCAGAAGAAAGGAGCCTGGTACAAAGTACAGCTGCAGAGGGCAGACATTTATTTTCCATCCCTTTCCAGGCAGCAAACACTCCACAGTTCATGTTTACTCCCAGTATCTCCACTCCCCCATTTGCTCCTTGCTCCTCCGCTCCCAGGGCTGGCAGAGACCGAGGGAGCCGGGGCAGGTTTGGAACCCCCAGCTCTGTGCCAGGGTCCCACCAAACCCCGTCCCCAGCGCTGTGGGGGCCCGGCTGTGCCACCCCAACCTCTGCAGGGCTGGCACCGAGCTGGCAGCAGCTCCAGCAGGACACGAGGCATGGCACAGCAGGGCCCTGCAGGCTGTCATGGAGCTGTGCTGGCAGCAAGGTCAACACCCGTAACACACACACACACCTGAGCTGCTCCAGAAGGAAACTCCATCCCTGCAGTGCTGATCCCTGCTGGCTGTGCCAGGGAACGGCCGTGGCAGCAGCCCAGCCTGCCCAGCTCATCCCAGGGCTACTTCTTGTGCTTCTTCTTCTTCTTCTTCTTCTTGGCAGCCTTGCTGGCTTTCCCGGAGCACTTGGGCCTCTTGCTGGAGGGCTCGGCTCCGGCGCTGTCAGAGGCCGAGCTGTCCGAGTCCGACTCCGAGGATTGCTTGGCCTTGTGTTTCTTCTTCTTCTCCTAGGAAAAGCCTGGGAATGTGGGAATGCTCTCCCTGCTGCTCGCCAGGGCAGCACGGGCACCGTGCCCCAGGAGCTCCCCAGCACCGCCAGCCCTCAGCTGCAGGGCCCCGAGCTCGGCAGAAACCACAGCACAGGGGCAGCAGCACGGAAATCCGAGGATGGAAAACACTGGATAACTCAAAGGAGAGCTCGTGCCCTCCACTATTTCATTGCTCTTTGTTAAGTTGGGAGGATGAGGCATTTTTTTGCCTAACAAATGGGTTTCTAAAGCTGCCATGAGCAGCGTCCCTGCAGCCCCAGCCTGCCAGGACTGGAGCATCCAAACACTCCTGCTCCGGGCAGGAGAGCCCAGCGGAGCTCAGTGCCCTCCTGCAGATGTGGCACAACCTCCCTGAAGATCTCACTTGTGCCCAGACTGGATGGGATGTCCAAGCACCAGGCCCAGGTGTCAGCTGGGCTAAAAGGAAAGGAGCTGGCAGCTCGTTTTTAATCAAACAGGACATTTTTAGGGAGCTGGAAGAGCAAAGAGAACACTCAGAGCATCAGGCAGGACCCTCTGGGATTGCAGGGAAGGGAGCAGAGGATGGAGCTGCTCCACACCCACCAGGCTCTTGGCACTTTTTAGTTCCTCAACAGCAAATTATGTCACCCAAAACCGAGTCTGTTTTCCTGTGGGTTACAACAGACTCACCACAAAATCCCTGACCCACAGAGGAAAGGCAGAAACAAATCCTTCCAGTCCTAAGAGGATGGGAAGGAGTTAAATCCTCCAGAAAAGGGGATGCAGCAAGGAGAATGTTCTCAAGCTTTTCCAGCCCGTGCACATGGTGAGAAAGTTTGAGAACCACCAAGAGTTTCATCCCAGAGCTTGGGAAACTTTCTCAGGATGTGAGGGCTGAAGGCAGGACAGGATGTCACACACGCTCCTGGGGATGGAACAGGGACATAAAAGCACACGTGGGCATTGTGCTGGCTGGAAAAAATCAACAAAGCCTCACTCTCCCCTTCTGGGGGCTTCCAACAGCCAAGATCACTCCAAGAGAGACAAATTCCTTTTGTGGCACACAATGGGGCTCTTGGGGTGTCCTGTGCAGGGCCAGGAGCTGAACTAAGCGATCCCTGTGTGTGTCTTTTCCAGGCCTGGATATTCCATGATTCTCTGACCCTTCCAGGGCACAGCAAATCAGCACAGCCTGGGCTGGAAGTGCAGCAGGAAACAAGGAGAGCTGAGCATTCCCAGAAAAAATGTGGCTGCTCCATCCCTGGAAGGCGTCCCTGGCACTGGATGGGATTTAAGGTCCTTCCAACCCAGCCCATCCCAGGATTTGGTGATTTTCGGTAGCAGGAGCCAGCGCTGCTACAAAATCTCCTGCTCCAGACCACAGCTTTCCCCAGATCCCAGCCCTGGAGATCAGCAGGTCTCAGGGAGCTGAGGGAGTGCCCAGGTCTGTGCCTGCAGGAGCAGCTCTGAGCCATGCTGGATGGGGCTCAGCTCGGCTCTGGGCACACCCAGCACTCCAAACACTGCATTTTGGGGGAGGGTTTGGAGAGGATTTGGCCCCAACAGCTCTCAGCGCAGAGGGCTCAAAGCACAGAGCTGCACTTCACGGTTCCCTGCACATCCTGCCCCACCTCTGCGATTACCACACCAGAACCCAACAAAAGTGTTCCAAAAACTCCCTCCAAGCCCTGTTGGAGCTGCCAGCAGGCTGGGCTGGAGCCTGAGTGTTGGTTTTCACGGAATTCCTTCCCCACTGCTCCAAAACTCCAAGAGGGGCCCCTCAGCACTCCAGGCTCCCTCCTGCCCTTTGTGAGGAAACTGCTCCAGGCTGCTACAACAGCTCGTTCCTCCCAAAGGTATTTGGGGTTGAGATAAGAGGGGAGTGCCCAGAGCACTCCAAGAAGCTGAAATATTTTTCACCAGACCCTTCTGAGGAGTTATGATCCCATTCCAAGACTTTGTGTCTTGTCCTTGTGGAAAACTCAGATGGATTTCTAATGTCTGCCTGCCTCCCCAGGGCTGTGCCAGGAGTCCTTCTAGATTTTATTATTAATCCTTCTGGGTTTTATTCTTTATCCTCATTCCACCACCCAATTTCATTCCAAACAAGATTCATTACATCAATCTGAAGGTGTTTTTGCATCCTCTGTTGGAGGAGCAGTCAGAATGAAGCTGAGGAGAAGAACCCAGCCTAGAGCCAGTAAATAGGCAGTCAAGCTCAGGAAAATCTGGATTAAAATAGTGTGTGAAGGGCTCTGCCCTCTTAATGCCATGGAAGAACCAGTAAAACCAGTAAAACTGAGGATGGACTTAGGCTGGATGAGCCACAGGTCACAGAACAAACACATTTAGGTGTGGTTTTCACACTGCAGGAAAATCTGGAAATCTTCCACAAGGGGAGGAAAAGAGCAGCAAAGTCACAAAAAAGCCCCAATCCCAAAGGCCATCCAAAACCACCTCAGGGATGAGCTGTTCCATGTGGAATAAAACTCGTAAGGAACTTGGAAATGGATGTAAACCCCCAAATTTGAGGTTGTGTGAGCAGAAGATGGGATGAACTTGGGAGGATTTCAATCCCTCGGTCAGCACTGCAGGTTTTTTCTTGGCAGACAAAGGCAGCAGGAGGATGAGAAGGGCTCAGCCATTCCCAGCCTCCTGCCTCCCACACAGTCCCTGCAGGGACATCAACCTCCCCCAGAGCAGCAGGAGCTCCTTCACCCCGTGACCCCAGGAGGAAAAGGGACAGCAAGCCTGGGGCAGCCCAGCTGTCCCACACAGCCTCATGGAATCCTGGAATTGTTCAGGTTGGAAAAGCCCTCCGAGATCAGCCGCTCCAAGCACGGCCCCAGGTGCCACATCCACGTGGTTCACCAGGGACAGGGACTCCACCACTGCCAGCACAGTTTTATCAACCCTTTCTGTGAAGGATTTTTCCCAAGTATCCAACCTAAACCTCCCTCAGCACAACCTGAGGCTGTTTCATGGCATCCCTCACTCCCTGGGAGCAGCCTCCTCTCAGGCCCCCCTGAGCCCCTTCCCAGCTCCCTCAGGAATTCTCCAGCCCCTTCCCAGCTCCCTCAGGAATTCTCCAGCCCCTTCCCAGCTCCCTCAGGAATTCTCCAGCCCCTTCCCAGCTCCCTCAGGAATTCTCCAGCCCCTTCCCAGCTCCCTTAGGAATTCCCCAGCCCCATTCCCTCCCCTGGACGCTCCAGCCTCTCCCCTTCTCCCATCTCCCGTTATCTCAGGGATTGCAGGGCCAGGGCTCAGTGCTGCCACCCGAAGATGTCACTGTCACACCACAGACCTGGCTCCAGCTCCAGCCTGGAAATGCTGAGAGGCTCAGGCAGGAGGGAAAACAGGCACGGGGAACCTGGCACGGTGGGGAAAAGGGGAGTGAAGATCCTGGAGTGTCACGAGAGAGGAAATCTCTGGGAAGAGGAGAAAAACGCCAGAAACTGCGAGGAAACGTGGGATCCAGGAAAGCACAAAACGCTGACCCTGAACAAGCACAGATGTTAATTTTACTGCTCAGTGGAGGTGGAATCCCTTGGGAGCTGGCTCTCTGAAATAGCCCAGCCCCACACTGGTGTCACACACATGGCACAGGACAGCGAGGAGATTGTCCCTGAATCCATGGAGTTATCCATGGTAATATCCCCAGAGCTCCAGGCAAGCAGGGAAGTACGTGGTGGCTCCCAGACAAGATCACAGCAGGCGCTACAAGGGAACCATTCATCTCCAGGATCCCACATCCTGCTTCCAAAAAAGCTCCAAGTTTTATTATTCCAGCTCTGGAAAGCATCCGAAAACTTTTGATGTCACCCTTGAGAAGGGAGGGAGATCAAAGGAACGAGTGAGATTTCAAGGAAAGTTATTAATCCACCAACCCCCAAAAAAATCAGGAAGAAATTCAGGACAGTGACCGACATTTCCTGTAGGAAATCTTGCAGGGCAAGACTCCACTGGGAATCTCCATCCTGGTGGATGGGCAGGGGTAGGACAAGCTGTTTGTGCTATTTCTGCACTTCTTTGTGTCATTTTTCCCCAAAACATTTCAATAACTGGAGCCTTTTCTGCCTGTTGCCAATCTCCAGGGATATAGAGTGGCCACAGAGCTGGAAAGAGAGGAAAATACAGAGAAAGGGCTTTGGAAGTGTAATTAGAAGTGGGACTATGAAGGGGCTGATGGAAGAGTTTATTTATGGAAGTCTGAGCTGGATTGTGGCTGTCCCTGGATGAGTCCCAAGCCAGGCTGGAGCAGTGTGGGACAGTGGGAGGTGTCCCTGCTGATGGCAGGGGTGGGATGGGATTTAAGGTCCCTTCCACCCCAAACCCTCTGGGATTCTGTGAACACTCATCCCTGAATAAACCTGACCACCAAAAGCTCCTGGCTTGGGTTCAAGCTTCACCTGTGTTTTATTTTATCCCATCCTGCTCGGAGGCAGAGGTCAAACTCTGCCTGGAAAATGTCTCTGATCTGGTGCCATTTCACAGGGACAGCGACTGCTCTGGAGCCTGGGAATGCTCCCTGTGCAAACACAGCCAGGGATTTTCCCCCAGAGGGTGCAGATAAACCCAATTCCCACAGCTCTGGCAGGGTCAGGACACCCCTGCAGCCAGCAGGGCACCGAGTCCAGATCAAGGAAAGGTGCGAGGGCAGGAGAAAGGGAAACAGATCACTGGCAACAATCCCAGGGGTTCAGGCCACTGAAGCACTGCCCACAGAGCCTCCCAAAGAGCAGGAAAAGCAATTACCATCTTTTTCTCGCTCTAAGAGTATCTCTGGAGGGCTGTGTGCTGCAGCACGAAACCAGCTTGGCAATGGAAGGGGAAAAGCCAGGAATTGGTGAGAGATCTGCAGAGGAGGTTCCTGTTCTGCTCCAGAACCTGCCCAAACCTGAGCCCCTTCTCAGCCCACAGCTGGCTCCTCACGGCCCCCTCGCTGGAGTAACTCAGTAGTAACTACAGAGCAAACTCCCAGCCCCCATTTCCTTTTCCAGGCCACCTCGTACCTTTCTCCTCTTTTTTGAAGGCTCCTCAGCCTGGCTGATCTCATCTCCTCCACGTGCTGCTGCTGCCCCCTCCTCCTCCTCCTCCTCCTCTGGAATGAGGCTGTACTTGGTTCCTCCAGGCTGCACAAAACACTCCTTGGCAAAGTGACCTGGAGAAAAGGTGTTGGAAGGAACAACCCAGCCTCTTTTCCTTCTTTTTCTTAATAAATTCTTTTAAATAAATTCTTTTTTTAAATAAATTCTTTTTAATAAATTCTTTTTTTTAATAAATTCTTTTTAATAAATTATTTTTTTTTAATAAATTCTTTTTAATAAATTCTTTTTTTAAATAAATTCTTTTTAATAAATTCTTTTTTTTAATAAATTCTTTTTAATAAATTATTTTTTTTTAATAAATTCTTTTTAATAAATTCTTTTTAATAAATTCTTTTTTTAATAAATTCTTTAATAAATTCTTTTTTTAATAAATTCTTTAATAAATTCTTTAATAAATTATTTCTTTTAATAAATTTTTTTAAAATAATTTTTTAATAAATTCTTTTTTTAATAAATTCTTTTGAATAAATTATTTTTTAAATAATTTTTTAATAAATTATTTTTTAAATAAATTATTTTTAATAAATTTTTTCTTTAATTATTTTTTTAATAAATTCTTTTTTAATAAATTTTTTAATAAATTTTTCTTTAATAAATTCTTTTTAATAATTTTTAATAAATTATTTTTAATAAACTCTTTAATACTTTTTTAATAAATTCTTTTTAATAAATTCTTCTTTTTAATAAATTCTTTTAATAAATTCTTTTAATAAATATTTATTAATTTTAATAAGTTCTTTTTAATAAATTCTTTTTAATAAATTCTTATTAATTTTTTAAAAAAATAAATTATTTTTAGTATTTTTATTTTTTTTTAATAAATGCATCTGGCACACCTGAAGTGCTGCTGAGGCTCTTTTGATTATCAGCCACAAGGAAGACAATCCACACTGGACATTTTTTTATCCTGAAATTTGAACGTGCCCTGATGAAACAGGACAGGGAACACAACCCAGGTCATTCTGGAGGGATCAGTCAGGCAAGAAATAAAACATCCTCGTGCCAACAACCAAAAATCTGTCTCTGCAGGAGCTGGATCAGCCCAGAAAAGAGTGGGGGAAAGGTAAATGGGTGTGACTGGCACCTGGAAAATGAGTGAAGCCACAAGGAGAGGGAAATTGAGCTCTGCTGGTTCTACCCTTTCTACTCTGGAGACATCAAAGCTGACCTACTCAGAGCTGCAGTGGAAATCTGGAGAGCTGGCACCTGCTGTTAGGAGGAGACACCATTGTTAAAAAGCAGAAAATAGAAAATAGGCAAAACCCTGGTTTGGGGGTTCTTTAAAATAGTGTTTTATATATAATAGTTCTTTAAATAGTAATAATTCTTTAAAATGGTATTTTAAGGACACTTCTGTGCCATGGGAGAGCCCACACTCATCATTAACCTCCTCCAGAACAGCACGAGCCCCATTAAACATTTCCTCCAAATAACACAAGTAGGGCACAGCAAAAACTCCTGCACAAAAAAAAACCTACTTTGTGCCTCAGCTGATGCCTGAGGTTTTAACTTCTGTATTTTCCAGAATCTGATTTATTTATTTTTTCTGGTATTTCCAGATACTGCATTGGTGCATAACTCTGAAGGGCTTTTTAATAAAATTTAATTTAATAAATCCCCACTTGACTCCTTTAACTCTGCCCAGCCTCTGCTGCAGGGAGCCTCTCCAGGTATAAATAAATCTACTGAAAGGCACCACAGAATCGTTTTCCCATTGCTGAACCTGGCAGAACATCATTTCAGCACATCACCAACTTTATTTGAGCTGCAAATTAATTAAATTTATTTGAACTTTATTTGTCCAGCTGAGCTGGAGCTGATGGACACTCAGCTCTGGCTGACCCTGGAACTCTTTTAATCTGTTTTTCTCTCACTGATTCTGCTGCTCTTCTTCCCTCTCCTGGATCTCTCAGCTTCTCTGAGCTCCTTTGGGACAGTTCCTCACGGGGAGTCGCAGTTCTCTGGCTCTGATGAAAACTCCAAAGCTCGTTAAGATCTCGTTCCTCGGGTTAATTAAGATGTTATCACAAAGCTTGGAGGGCTTTCCAGACTTTTTACACAAGTTTAAATCAATAAAACCTGGCAAACTTTGGGCTCTGATGGCACCAAATGGTCATTATATTATATTGTATTATATTATATTATATTATGTTATATTATATTATATTATATTATAATATGTATTATAATAAATATTACATTACAATATATTATATATTATTAATTATATATTATGTTATATATTATGTTACATGTTATATATTATATATTATATATCACATTATATATTATTTTATATTATATATTTCATTATATTATAATATAATATATATTATAATAAATATTACATTATATTATATATTATATATTACTCATTATATATTATGTTATATATTATATGTTACATGTTATAAATTATGTATTATATATTATATATTATTATATATTATATATTATTATATATTATATATTATATATTATTACATATATATTAAACATTATATATTATACATTATATATTATACATTACATATTATATATATTATATATTACATTATATATTATAAAAATACATCTATTTTTACCCTATTAACTATAGACACCTGTATTGTTTTTATACATTAACAAATAAGTTTTCTCTATCTGCTTAAATAACTAAAATTGTGACTTTCAACCAATCACTCTTTGTGTTCCTAAAATTTGCAGGATCATGGAGGAGAAGGAAGGAGAGCTAAAAACCACACTTCTTTTCCCTCAATCTTTACTCCATGTATTAAACACTCTAAAATCTATATTTTTTATTTCAGTGGCAGACTAAACATTCTACTGCTTCCTACCTGATTTTTTATAAATCCTGGCTCACCCAGGGATATTTGGGAAGCTTTTCTGTCAGTGACAAATAGGATTAATGCATTTTTGGAGAACAGGACAAGGAGAGAAATTCTCCATCTCCGGATTCCTCCACCCCTGGCAGTGCCCAAGGCCAGGCTGGATGGTGGAATTTGTCCCTGGGGGTTGGAATCCAGGGGTTTTTTCCTGGTTGGAATCCAGGAGGATTTACGCTCCTTTCCAACCCAAACCGTTCTGGGATTCCAGCCATGAGGCAGACACTGCTTCAGCCCCACCAGGGTCCCTGCCTGGCAGGGACACAGCCCCACACCCACCTTTGCAGCCACATTTCTTGCACACCGTGTTCAGGACGGCCTCCAGGGTGATCTTCTGGCTGGTGTAATCCCTGAAGGTGCGTCTCTTCCTCTCATCCTGCCTGGGAGGACAACACCAGCTCATCTTTAATCCCTCATTTTCTCATTCACACCTTTAATCCCTCATTTTCCTACGAACACACCTGACCACGAGGCTTTTAAAGGTTGCTCTCCATGTAAAACTTTCTAAAAACAAAGAGCAGAGCTGGCCTTGGGCACTGCCAGGGGTCCAGGGGCAATTCCAGCCCCTTCCCCCCCCTCCCAGGGAACAATTCCTGCCCAAAATCCCAAAATCCCACCCACCCCTGCTCTGCTCAGATTTACCCACTCAAGGGAAACGTTGTTGGGATCCAGGTCCTTCCCCGTGCCTTGGTGAACAACCTTCATGGAGAGGGAGAGCTTCAGTTTCTCATCCTTCACCTGCAAAACACGGAATTAGCGGGACTAACGACCCCGGTGCTAATTAACACACGGGATATTTGATTGGAATTGAGGTCACCTCCTTCCCAATGAGCTTCACCCAGACTTTGTCCCCGACATCGACCATCTCGGAGGGTTTGTCCACACGGCAGGAGGACATGTGGCTCCTGTGGACAAGGCCTGGGGTTGGGAGAGACACAAAAACAATCCTCAGATTTGCCTCCCAGGACAGCAAAACTCCCAAATTTGGCACAGGAAATCCCATGGGGTGTGGAAACAATGTGTTGTTACACCATTAATAAATAAAATTTTGAAGCTGATAGTGTTTATTTCACTAGTTCATCCCTTTTTTTCAGTTCTATACAGACAATTCTGCACTGAGCCTCGAATTTCCAGTTTCCAAAGTGGGTGCAGAAAATCCCTTGGGGTGTGGAAACAATGTGTTTTTTACACCATTAATAAATAAAATTTTGAAGCTGATAGTGTTTATTTCTTTAGTTCATCCTTTTTTTTCTGTTCTGTACAGACAATTCTGCACTGAGCCTCAAATTTGTGGTTTCCAAAGTGGGTGCAGAAAATCCCTTGGGGTTTTATTTATTTAATTAATTATTCATTAATTAATTTAATTAATTAAATTTAAAAATTAAAAATATCAGTTTTGTTTTAATCTTTTTTCCCCCCACTCACTGACACTGACCATTAAAACAGGAAATTGGGCAAACCACCTAACTGCAGATTAAACAGTCTGCCATTACCCTCAAATGATTCTCTGAATCAAAAACCTCCACTAAAATATTCTGAAGTTAGCAAAACCCCAAAATATCCAGAATTTACCAAAAAAAACCAGCCCAAAGATATCCTGAGGATACCAAAACCCCAAAATATCCAGAATTTACCAAAAAAAACCAGCCCAAAGATATCCTGAGGATACCAAAACCCCAAGATATCCAGAATTTACAAAAAACCCACCCCCAAGACACCCTGAAGTTACCAAAATTCCCTGAGTCTTTTCTGGCAATCACACAAAAATCCATCACCTTCAAAATGCTTCCCAAGAACTCCAAATTTCTTCCTAATTTAGGAAAAATTCCTTTTCTGAGCTTTTGCTAAAAGCCTTTAACCCTGAGGTGACTGCTTGCCTCGGACACAGCAATGAGAAACAACGGCAGAGACACAAACCTTGCTTCCTGCAGCCTGGGATTTTGATAAATGCCCCAAAATCTGTCACTGCAGCAACCTGGGGAGAAAAAGCACACGAGAGCTGAAGCCTTTCCCAGGGGAGAAGCTGCACAATGAACCTGCACAGCTCACCTGAGCTGGGATCAGCAGAGGGTCAGGGAATGCTTGGGTTTGGAGGGATCTCACAGCTCCTTTTCTGCTCCTTCTGCCACGGCAGGGACATTCCCACTGTCCCAAACCCATCCAGCCTGGCCTTGGGCACCGCCAGGGATCCAGGGACAGCCACAGCTGCTCTGGCAATTCCAGCCCAGCCCCTCCCCACCCTCCCAGGGAACAATTCCTGCCCAAGATCCCACCCAAATCTCCCCTTTTCCAATCTCAAGCCATTCCCTGTGTCCTGTCCCTGCAGGCCTTGTCCCCAGTCCCTCTCCAGCTCTCCTGGAGCCCCTGCAGGCCCTGGAGGGGGCTCTGAGCTCTCCCTGGAGCTTCTCCTCTCCAGCTGAGCACCCCCAGCTCTCCCAGCCTGGCTCCAGAGGGGCTCCAGCCCTGGAGCAGCTCCAGGGGCTCCTCTGGGCTCTCTCCAGGTGCTGCTGATGTTGGAATTCTGTTGGAATTCCGAGCTCTGCAGGCGGGAATCACCTGAGCGGGGCAGAGGGACCGAACTCCCCCTTTTCCTGCTGCCCCCGCTCTGTGGCTGTGCATGAACACAGCCAGAGGTGTGCGCAGTGCAGAGCTGCACAAACAGCCAAACACCAAACAAACAGCCAAAAATTAAACACCCAAACACCAAACAAACAGCCAAACATCACACAAACACCCAAACAGCCAAACACCCAAACAGCCAACACCAAACACCCAACATACTAACGTCGAACACACACCCAACACCAAACACCCGACACCCAAACACCCAAACACCACACAAACACCCAAACCTCTCCCGGGATAAACCCCCCCAAAGCAACACAAGGAATCCCGGCAGAGCGGCCCGGGCTCCCCGCACCTCGCCCTGGAAGATGGAGAAGAGCTCGGGCAGCGGTTCCATCGCTCCCAGAGGCGCCGCTGGATTCGCGTCCCGCAGCTCCTGTGGGGCGGCCTGAGGGGAGACAGCGCGCAGCACGGAGCCCTCAGGGCTCGGCCGCGTCAGGAGCGCGGGGAAGCAGCCGAGCGGAATCTGCAGGACTGGCCCAGAGCCCTGTGGTGGGACGGCCCGGCGGGGGCTCCTCAGCGCCCGCGGCAGCAACACCGCAGCGCCGCCATGGCCTCAGCGTCCCCCGCCCGCCGCCGCCATGCCACCCTGACACCAGGGTGCCGCGCTCTCGGCCAATCACAGCGCGCAATGCTTTCGGGTCTTTAGCTCCAGCCAATCACTGTTACCCATGCGAACCAGCGCGCGCTCTCCGCCAATCAGAGCGAGGCGCGCCAGAAAGCGCCGCTCTCCCCACACTATGCTTGCCGGCGCGCCGGCAGCCTTCAGGGGGGCGGGACATCCGGGGCGCTCCGCCAATCAGCGCGGAGGGCACGGCGGAGGCAGCCAATGGGGCGCGGGGGGCGGGGCCGGGCGCCCGCCATGATCGAGCAGCAGAAGCGGAAGGTCCCGGGCCCCGGGCCCGGCCCCGGCCCCGCTCCCGCTGCCCCCCCGGGCCCCGCCGCCCCCGGCACCGCCCCCGCGCCCGGCCCCGACCTCCCGCTCGTCCCCGTGCCCGCCAAGCGGCCCCGCCATGACCTGCCGGGCGCGCCGGGCACGGGCGGGGCAGGGGGGCAGCCTCCGGCCGGAGCTCTGCTGCAGGCGGTAATGGGGGAACCGGGCCGCAGGGCGGGGAGAGACCCGGGCTGGGAGGGAGACGGGAGGGAAAAAGGCCCGGGGTGGTTCCAGTAGGAGGGAAGGGCCAGGAGCTGGGCAGTGCTGGGACATCTCCGTTCAGGAGGGATCGGAACGAGTTCAGGGCAGGGAACGGAGCTGGAAGGGGCTGGAGAATTGCTGAGGGAGCTGGGAAGGGGCTGGAGAATTGCTGAGGGAGCTGGGAAGGGGCTGGAGAATTCCTGAGGGAGCTGGGAAGGGGCTGGAGAATTCCTGAGGGAGCTGGGAAGGGGCTCAGGCTGGAGCAAAGGAGGCTCAGGGGGAATTTCTGGCTCTGCACAAGTCCCTGGCAGGAGGGGACAGCCGGGGGGGTCGGGCTCTGCTCCCAGGAACAGGGACAGGAGGAGAGGGAACGGCCTCAGGCTGGGCCAGGGGAGCTCAGGGGGGACAGCAGCAGGAATTTCCCCATGGAAAGGGGATCAGGGCTTGGCAGGGGCTGCCCGGGGAGGTTTGGAGTGCCCAGCCCTGGAGGTGCCCAAGGAAAGCACTCAGAGCTCAGGGCTGGGCACAAGGTGGGCATCGGGCACAGCTCAGACTCGGTGATCCTGGAGCTCTTTTCCAACCTCAGTGATCCTGAGATTCTGGAATTGTGCTGGGATGTGCTTTGGGAAGGTCAGGATGTGGCAGGGGTGGCAGGCTGGCCGTAGCCTGGCCTTGTCCCCTGTCCCCTCACGGTGTGTCCCGTGTCCCCAGGGCCCCCCGCGCTGCTCCTCGCTGCAGGCCCCCATCATGCTGCTGTCAGGACACGAGGGGGAGGTTTATTGCTGCAAGTTCCACCCCAATGGCAACACCCTGGCCTCGGCTGGCTTCGACAGGCTCATCTGTGAGTGCCACCGCTGTCCCCACACGGGGCTGCTGCGGGGTTTCGGCTCAGCCCTCACCTGGCTGCCTCCTGAGGGTGAATTGCATCCCTGGGGGGTGCAGGGAGCTTTGCCCAGCTGCTCTGGCAGGTCCCATCCTGGAAATGTGTCCTGCTGGGCACAGCTCTGTGTCCCCCTCACGCAGAGCTCTGCAGAAGTGCAGGGTTGATGAAGCAAAGATTATCTGTTTTCTTAATAAATCCACCTTAAACAAGAGCCTGAACCAGCTCTGCCCCGGGGCTCACACTGTGAATTATCCCAGGGGGGTCTCAGCAGCGGGGCTGGTCCATCCCTCCCTGCTGCAATCCCAAAGCTCAGCTCCACACACAGCAGGGAGCTGTTCCCGTGCATTTCCCGTGCTCATCTCTCCCCTTGCTGTCCCCCAGTGCTCTGGAACGTCTACGGGGACTGCGACAACTTTGCCACCCTCAAGGGGCACAGTGGGGCCGTCATGGAGCTGCACTACAACACGGATGGCAGGTGAGACACAGAGAGAGAGCCTTCCTGCTGCTCAGACACCTCTGAACCTCGGGGAATGGGGCTGGAGCCCCAGGAGGGGCTGAGGGAGCTGGGAAACGGGCTGGAGAATTGCTGAGGGAGCTGGGAAGGGGCTGGAGAATTCCTGAGGGAGCTGGGAAGGGGCTGGAGAATTCCTGAGGGAGCTGGGAAGGGGCTGGAGAATTCCTGAGGGAGCTGGGAAGGGGCTGGAGAATTCCTGAGGGAGCTGGGAAGGGGCTCAGGCTGGAGCAAAGGAGGCTCAGGGGGAATTTCTGGCTCTGCACAAGTCCCTGGCAGGAGGGGACAGCCGGGGGGGTCGGGCTCTGCTCCCAGGAACAGGGACAGGAGGAGAGGGAACGGCCTCAGGCTGGGCCAGGGGAGCTCAGGGGGGACAGCAGCAGGAATTTCCCCATGGAAAGGGGATCAGGCCTTGGAAGTGCTCAGGGAGGTTTGGAGTGCCCAGCCCTGGAGGTGCCCAAGGAATTCCTGGAGGTGGCACTGAGTGTCCTGGGCTGGGGACACGTGGGGATCGAGCACAGCTGGGACTGGATGCTCCTGGAGCTCTTTTCCAACCTAAACAATTCTGGGATTGTTGCCCTTGCTCAGTCCATGGACACCAAGTCCTTTTACTGTGGCTTTTCCAGCGTGGGCAACAGCTCTGGGGGCACCTGTGAGCCATTGATGCATTTTTGGGGAACAGAGGGAAGTTTTGGGAGTCACTGGGATGGGAGAGAACACGTGAGATGCTGGTTCATTCAAAATTCTGTCCTACCGTTGCTGCTGAGCCTTGCTGCTCGAGGAGGCAGAAAAACAATTTCTAGCAGGGCTTAGAGGGGGTTTGTCCATTCAGCTGCTCCTCCAAACCACCAGACAGGGGTGGTTCTTCTCCCCCTGGTTATCCCTGGAGGAGGGATGTGCAGGGAGCCGGGCCCTGACGGTGGCTGTCCCCTGCAGCATGCTGTTCTCAGCATCCACGGACAAAACCGTGGCCGTGTGGGACAGCGAGACGGGCGAGAGGGTGAAGAGGCTCAAGGGCCACACGTCCTTTGTCAACTCCTGCTACCCGGCCAGGAGGGGACCCCAGCTCGTCTGCACCGGCAGCGACGACGGCACCGTCAAGGTCAGCCTGGGGAAAACCTTGGGGGGGGAAAAAAGGTGGAAAAGCTTTGGGGATCTTCACATTTATCTGGGCTGAATTCGGGTTTTTTATTTGTGTCATCGCTCTGAGTTCAGAGTCAAAAATGTGACATCAAATTTCACTGCTCCTTTATTCTGTAATTCTCAGGGGGATGAGCTGCTCAGCTGGGATTTTTCTGCTTCTCTGGATTAGCAAATAATGAGAAAACTATTCCTGAAATCTGAGCTGGCCCCTTCTTCTCTTTCCTAAAATCTCCTGTGCTGGCTCCTTTTTCCCTCTCCTGAAATCTGAGCTGGCCCTTTCTTCCCTGCCTTCATTCCTGTGCTGCAAACACAGCAGATTTAACATTTTTTATAAAGATTTCCAGACTGGATGTTTTTATAATGATCTCCTGAGATCCACAAAGGGATTTTGGGAGAGCAGTCTGAACCTCTGCCAATATCTCTGCAGCTCCCTGTGATTTTGTTGTTAAATATCTGTGCCCACCTCTTAAAAACGCCACGTTTCTTTCCAGCTGTGGGATATCAGGAAAAAAGCTGCAGTCCAGACATTCCAGAACACCTACCAGGTGCTGGCTGTCACCTTCAATGACACCAGTGACCAGATCATCTCTGGTGGCATCGACAATGACATCAAGGTAGGAGCCCGTGTCCCTTCCCCGCTGTGCCCACCTCTCCCATCCTGTCACACCCTGCACTGCTCAGGGACAGCCACGCTGAGTTTCACATCCCAAACTCCCCCTGGATCTGCTGTGTCTGTCCCTGCTGGTGCTGCAGGGACAACAAAGTGTCAGGGAGGTGGCAGTGCCAGCCTGGCATCCCCGGAGTGCCAGCACTGCCAGTGTGGAATGCTGTGACGAGCCAGGGGTGAGGGGAACTGGAGAGAATGTCACATCCCCCCTGTGCCCTGTTTGCAGCTCAGCCTGGCACCTGCTGCTGTGGAAAGTTCTTGTGGAAAAGCTTTGGGGCTTTGAGCTCACTCTCAAGAGTGAGCTCAGCATTTCCTTCAGCCCTGCTGGCTGCAGGGCTCAGGCTGTCCCTGTGCCCCTGCTCCAGCCTGTCCCCAGCCTGTCCCTGCCACCAGGGCTGTCCCCAGCCTGTCCC